AAGCAGTTATGAAATACCTGTTTGTGAAAGGTTATTTGTTTTCTTTATTGTTCAGATAGAAACCACTGCTTTCTGCTCACTGGTGAGTTAGCCTCTGAGTGTTAAGCACATCAGGCTGGCAGCTGTATGGGCATTGCTCTATGGTACTGTTATTTGCACATTGTTAATCATGAGCAATGCATCCTTACATTGTTTAACTGTGAGGTGTTATACAATTGTACTCTGGAGAGCTTTTAAAGGTAAAAAAATAAACGGCATGATGGGATGTGCAGTACCAAATATGTAAAGCACTTTTTTGTTAATGTATGATTTGCTGCATATAAGGAATAAAACAAAAATCCTCTGTCGTACCATATTGAAGTATCATTATTTTTGCATCGTGTTGAATCGCATCGTATCGCCCCGAATCACATAATGTTGAATCAAATCGTATCGAACTGTATCGCAACAGGGGTGAATCGTATCGTATCGCATCGCCTGGTGTTTCAAAGGTATCGTTAATGTATCGTATCGTGGCAACGTATCGAGATGCGCATCGCATCGGCCTCAGTGATGGAGATGCACATCCCTAGACTAGCATCCAACCGAGCTTTAAAAACATTTAGTGGATTGCTCAGTTTCCATTTAATTTGCAGACTGTTCCAAGACAGAGGAGCTGCGCATCTAAATGCTATCTTCCCTAAGCAGTAATGCTTTTGTTATGAGCTGTTGGAAGTGTCTGGAAATATCGTACAATCATTTTCATAATGTATACATTTGCAGAAAGTTGTGAAACAGTCTCCTTCTAGTTTCTCAAAGTCCAGGTTAATGTCTGTTAATGTGTTTTTTCAAGTCCAAGACTGAAATATATCTACTTTGTTATGGTATAAAATAAAGAAAAGAGGATCATTTCCATATTGGAGAGGCTGAAAACAGCAATTTTTACCAACAATTTATCAATTGTAAAAAAAGCTTTGTGGACAATCTGTAACAGTAGTCATAGTTGGGCGGATACAGAAGTTACTGCACAGTTAGTGTAATCTACTGTATGTGGTCCACTGAACCTCTCATAAACCAATCACATTATGTCAGTGTTGGGGAGGTAACTACTTAACATGTTAGGGATGTAACTACGGCATAGGGAGAAAACTAGTTTGGTTAACAAAGACTAAACAGTTCCTTAAAGTTCTTATTTGTCATGGTTTTGATCTACTTCTTTATTTTTCCCTTCAACCTAGTTGGACCAGTCCGTCATCAATGGGATTGCCACCGGAGACCCAGCAGCCAGGAATAAGAGTCTCATCAAGAAATGGTGCCATACCATCACCAAAACAGTAAGACCAAAACATTTCAGCTCCATATCAAATATTCAAAAAACATTTAGAAGATCAAAAATCTTTATTGTCAAACTGCCAATTTGTTTCAGACCTTAATGAACGTCACGGTTCCTGGTCCAGATAACTGCACGTCTCCGTCCCTGTGCTGGGTCGATGGCAACTACACCATCACACTGAAGAACGTTTCTGAAACGTGCAATCTCCAGAAATGTAAGAGCAGTTTTGACAGTATACACTCTATTTTCTGTAATCTCTCGATTAAATGAATGTATATTATTCTCACTGAAAAATGACGTTGCAACCATGTTTAAACAAAGCACAGACACTACTGTTACTGTAAGATCATACATCTTTTAGTGAAACTTTTCAAATGTCTTTACAATTGTATTGACCCCATTTCCACCTGCAGAAACAGATAAGGCGTATCCTTAGAACACGTAATCGTTGACAATGTTTTGTTGTTGTTGCAGTAGGCCATAAAAAAGACATACATGCAGCTTTAAAACATGAAGGATACCAGCCATCGCTGATGCATGTGTTTTTGTTTGTCCTCAGGTAAGCATATATTTGTGAATGTGAATCTGCCGGACCTGGCGGTGGGTCTGATCCTGCTCGCTCTCTCTCTGCTGGTGCTCTGCTCCTGCCTGATACTCATCGTCAAGCTGCTCAACTCCATGCTGAAGGGACAGGTGGCCTCAGTCATCAAGAAGATCCTCAACACCGGTGAGTGGCACCGCACACTCAAGTGCAGAGAAATGAATGGGAATGTGTTGGTTAGTAACACTTGCATGTTGTGTGTCTGTTTGTGTGTGCAGATTTCCCATTTCCATTCGGCTGGGTCACAGGTTACATTGCCATTTTTGTCGGAGCTGGAATGACATTCATTGTGCAGAGCAGCTCTGTTTTCACTTCTGCTATCACTCCACTTGTCGGTGAGGTCATTCATCCATTTCATTCATCTCTATTTGTGTTTTTCATTTTTTTTTTTTTAAATGCTGTTACTTGAAATTCCTGTCAATCTTTTCTTCTTAGTAAAACAATCTACCTTGACTAACTGCTTTCCTGGTTATACAGGGATGATGGTAGTTGAAGAGAGGGAGTGTAATTATGTGTTTATTTGAATAGGTATTGGTGTCATCAGCATAGAGAGAGCATACCCATTGTCTCTGGGTTCAAATATTGGTACAACCACCACAGCCATCCTGGCAGCTATGGCTAGTCCTTCAGAGACACTGGCAAATTCTCTACAGGTCAGTCACTTGCACAAGAAAACATGCACACATACACTACAAGTACATTTAAATATGTGTTGAATTTATTTTGCATTTTGGGAGATACAAGGACTATTAGGTAGAGGGAGCCTGTTTTCACAGAGTTGATGTTATTTCCAGATTGCCCTCGTACACTTCCTGTTCAACATCTCTGGCATCCTTCTGTGGTATCCAATCCCCTTCACGCGAATCCCTATCCGGCTGGCAAAAAGCCTGGGAAACATCACCGCCACCTACCGCTGGTTTGCTGCCGTCTACATCATCAGCTTCTTCTTCATTTTACCGCTCTTCATCTTCAGCCTGTCTCTGGCCGGCTGGAAGGTGATGGTGGGTGTGGGTGTTCCTCTGGTCGCCATGCTGATCCTCATCGTAGTGATTAACGCGCTGCAGAAAAGGAAACCCCGGTGCCTGCCTGCAGCCCTGCGATCCTGGGACTTCCTCCCTCTGTGGGCCCATTCCCTGGAACCCTGGGACAAATTGGTTGGTGCTTGTACCGCAAAATGCTGTTGCTGCTGCAAGTGCTGCCAGCTTGCTGTTGAAGGGGAAGAACACAAAGAGAAAGAGTGTGTGGAAAATAACAACAAATCACACATAGCAGTGTATGATAATCCTGCAATGAGTGCAGAGAAGGAGGTGGAAAATGAGTTCAATTTAGAGCTAAACATTCTGAAAAACACCCAGTTTTGAGATTTTAAATATATATTTGTGACTATGTGTATATAATGGAAAGAAGTATATTACAGTAGGCATGGCACAAGGACCAAACACATCCAGGCAAAACTATTTAAAATGTATGTTATTAATTTAGTATAAGATGGTTTAATAAGGAATATCAGACAATAAAAGAGAAAGTGTTTTTCAGCTGCGAGAAGTACGAATCAATTTTATGATTAAGATTTGTGAACAATAAGGAAAATATAATTTTCTATTGGCTTATTCTACATTATTTGGTTTTCTAACATTTTTGAAATACATCTTTCATTTGATCAAATCATGAGATTACTAAAATAATTCAATATAAATAAGGTATAGCATAAGTTATTTAATGTTAAGTTAAGTCAATAACGGGCTCATAACAAACTGTTATTTAAAATAGCAAAGCAATGTAAAGGTTGTTTTTTATTCTATATTATTAAAATGTGAACACTGAGGATGCCATGCCATGGCCTTCCATACAGGAAATACAGTCGGTCAGAATAACATCTGCACAAAACCACAGGTTTTTACTGTGTATAAGACACACTGAGATCCTTATCACATCGTTTTAAGGTGTATAATAATTCAATTTAATTGAGACAGATAATCGTATTCAAGGAATATGTAGTTTGAAATTAGATGACTGTGCATCTGACTTAATGTTTGTAACTCTTTGTACTTAATCTTGAGTTTCTTGTTGTGTTGCAATAGTATCTATATGAACATATAAAATGTTAAAAAACTATACCTAATTGAAAGTTTTTCCCCCTCAGAAACCACTAGACTCATCATTTTAAATGCTCCCTCATTAGCTTGTGACGGCCGCACATTGATTTAAGGTGTTTCTTCTAAACTGTAGTGGCAGGGGAAAAGGTTTAAGGCATGTTGTTGTTAAGCATATTTGTATAAGAACAAAGTCATGTTTCAGTTCATGTGTATATGACATCATCAGAATGTGCCTGAGTGTGAAAGAAACGTGGTGATGCTAATGAGCATGCGCAGATGCAATAAACGGTCAGTTCTCCAGGCCAAACTCAGTGCGATGTGGTCGTGTGTTTTTTCTGTCCGTTACAACTAGTAAGATGATGCTTACGAACTACTTTGGTTGACTGCAAACGTGGAGACTTCTGCTGAATATAATGTCTCACGCAACAGTTTTGTATGATGCTTTAGCTATTGTCTCTACTTTAAGACCAAACATTGATAGTAAAATGATAGTCCGTGCTGCCGTCACACGTCTTTTTTTCCAGGATCATGCCAGAGACTCTAAAAGGGACAGTGAGCTATAATGTCCTTATGTCTGTTGTCAAGTCAATTTCACATCAAGATGGCCAAAAGTTTTCTGAAAAGGATGAAGAAATTACTAAACACATTGGACATAGACAAAGACTATCTGACCATAGAGAGAGCACTGGTGCTTTGAAACAGAAATGTTTATTGTTGGCATATTATAATACCGTATTTTGCTTTGATTTATCTTGCAATATTATTTTGAACACTTGGCTTCAGTGATTAGCTTCACAAGGGTGTATAAATAGGGCCAAAGGTGACCGGAAAGGAAGGGGAACAGGTAGAGAGAGCACAAAGTTCTTACCAGAGGCTGCAACAAGTGCTAACAGATACAGGCACGATTTAGATGCTAACAGCAACAGACCAGCAAAACTACGAACACTGCAAGAGACCACAAAGCAACCACCTAACAACTCGCTGGCAGAAAAAAAAATTAGTGTTGTAAGAATTTCAATAAATCGCTGACTAAACAGCAACCAACTATCGGACAATCTTCTGTTTGTGTCTGTGTAAGTTTACTTTCACCACTTACTTACCTTTGTGATAATGGAAAATGCAAAGGGGATATTGGGACATGAAAAAAAATGCCAGCTAAAGATTACTTAAGACCATGTGAGTGTGGCCAGCTAGACCTCAGTCCTTTCCATGTCCATCAGCCAAGCATCTAGGTTGAGATATCATGAAACTTTAGCTTTCTTGTTAATACCAACTGGACTTTGATCTCCATCCAAATCAGACAAACTATGCCAATGATCTATGGTCAGTTAACATATAACTTTAGCTAGCTTTTTATTATTGTTGCTGAATTAATTGTAATTTTCTCTATACACTGAGCATGTGTTGCCTTTTTTCTAGTAATAGTAATACATATACCCTAATACATACGCGCCAAAATAGTTATAATAATAATAATGATTATAAACATATATTTATTTGCATAGCGCCTTTTGGAGAAGAATTGCAGCTCAAATTGATCTACATTTAGACAGAATAAAGACAACAAACACATCGATTTAAAGGAAACACAGGTAGGGAGTTAAGTGATATGCAATGCAGTAAAAGAAAACCATTTAAAATATCAACTAATAAAACATGCATTTTAAAGTAACGACATAATGTGTTTTTAAAAACACATAATAAAAAGACATTAAAAAGAAAAATAATCTGCTTGTGGGACACCACTATAACACGTGCTAGCAAAGAGCATAGCTAAAGACAGATGGAAACACACCGACAGGCAGATGAACCGAATGACAGCGACTGTAGAGCAGGATTCCACGAAAGAGGTTAAACCGATACATTTTTTTAAAGCTGACATAAATTAGATCATTAACTCGACTACAGAGAGACAGACAGACTGAAAGACACCGACAGGTGGAAAGACAGACAGTCAGTCAGTGGATGAATAAACAGCAGGACGCTCAGCAGACTGGTGAGTAAGAGAGATATCACAGCAATGAGACAGCTATAACAACGTCTATGTTCATTTAAACTTGTAGCTGAAGTTAACCTCAATTGAATTAAGCTTGCTGGTTAATGTCTGCCAACATTAATCTGTGATCCATCAAACTTCAAGTTAAGGGCAGCAGTGGGTTTCTAGCAGATTTGTATTTGTTTTCTTTAAAGAAGACTATGCTCAAGAAAAATATGAATGTAAAAAAAGTGTTTCCATCTGCAGTCCCTGGACAGGTACACACATAACAATCATCAGACAATAAAAACATGACATAGTCTCTGTCACACTAATGATTATAAAGATAGAACAAAGCATTGATCAACATTTAAATATCAGCACATTTATCAATAGAATCAGGGTCACATTATTGTTGACAAGACCGGTAGCTTAATATCTTCTTTTTCTTTTGCGATATTGGAAAAAAAAGTGAAAGTGTTTGCA